GACGGGTGCCTTGAGGGAATTCCATAGTCTTTGTTTTCCATCTCGTGATTCCCCTATTTGGTGAATTTCAGATTCATGTTCTCTCTAAATACTCTACTTAAGCTACTCTTTAAATTGGGAAACCTTTTCCAATCAATCCCCGCGGGACAAGTCCCTTTTGAGGAATTCCGAATTCACTTTCTGCTCGACTACTCTACTTCTTATGATCATTCTTCCCAAAGGGACGGGTGCCTTTTGGGAATTTCCAAATTTAGGTGTGTGCTATGTATTAAGATTATTTTGCACCGCGCTATTTTCGTTGTTTTTCCCAAACAGACAGGCGCCTTTGGCGAATTGAGGATTCATGTTTTGCAAATTAGTCTACTTAGCATAGCTATTCTATTATTCTACTTATTCCAAGAGGGGCGGGTGCCTTTTAGGAATCTCCGAATTTATGCGCTCTAACTATTCTAATTAGTTTAAGTGTTCCATATTTCTAATTATTCCAAGAAGGATGGGTGCCTTTGCGGAATTGAAGGTTCATGTTTTGCATGCAAATTAGTCTACTTATCGTAGCTATATGCATTCTCATCATCATTGTCATCATCGTTGTCATCATAATTTGTTATCATGTTCGTCATCATGTTCATCATCATGTTCATCATCATGATTATCATCAGCATTACCATCATGAGCTTCATCATCATTTTCCTCTTCATCATCATCACCATCACCATTTTCATCATCATGTTCATCATCATTTCCATCATCATTATTATCATCATTTGTCACCATCATTTTCATCATCATCACCATTATGATCATTCTTCTGGTCATCTTGTTCATCATGATTTTCATCATCGTTTTCAACATCATGTTCATCACCATTGTTTTCATCATCATGCTCATCATCATCATTATCATCATCATGTTCATCATCATGGTCATCATCATGTTCCTCATCGTTTTCATCATCATGGTTATCATTTTCATCATCATGGTCGTCATCATTTTCATCATCGTTTTCGTCGTCACGCTCATCATCATATTCATCATCATCATATTCATCATCATCATGTTCATCATCATTTCCACCGTCATGAAAGTCCAGGAGGTTGCCTCAGCCAGGACTATTTTATTATTCAAACCATTAAAGTCATTTAAGTCATTAAATTCTTTAAAATCATTTTAATGAACTTAATGACTTTAATGTTTCAAAAGGCCCAAACATTAAAATCATTAAATTCACTAGAGGACGATTGGCCCGAAAGCATTTTTCCCCAGGTGCTCATCCAGCCGCGGAGACACCTTTTTACATTGCTGCGGCGAGCGTGTCTGCACGCGGCGATGCTCAATGTGTATGGTCACATGAGAGCTCCATCTCATCGTCCTAGTTTCCTCTCGAACTGCGCCGCGCGATTTCTCACGAAAGTGGTCTGCGCAAGCTGCATTGTTCCAGGCTGCTGCGCGCAAGTTGCTCTCTGCAAGCTGCTGCACGCAAGTGCTCTGTGCAAGTTGCTCTGCGCAAGTGCTCTGAGCAAGTTGCTCTGCGCAAGTGCTCTGCGCCAGTTGCTCCGCGCAAGCGCTTTGCGCATGTGCTCTGCGCAAGTTGGTCTGTGCAAGTTGCTCTGCGCCAGTTGCTCCGTGCAAGCGCTTTGCGCATGTGCTCTGTGCAGGTTGCTCTGCGCAAGTGCTCTGAGCAAGTTGCTCTGCGCAAGTGCTCTGCGCCAGTTGCTCCGCGCAAGCGCTTTGCGCATGTGCTCTGTGCAAGTTGGTCTGTGCAAGTTGCTCTGCGCAAGTGCTTTGTGCAACTGCTCTGTGCAATTCGCAGAGCGCAAGTTGCTCTGCGCAAGTGACTCTGCGCAAGTTGCTCTGCGCAAGTGCTGCCGGAGCTGTGGGAATGTACTTCGCGTACTATTTTTGTACTTTAAAAGTTGCGATTTTCCAGCCGGAGCTGCGGGAGCACGCTCCGAATACTACGTCTTAAAAGTCGTGATTTTTCAACCGGAGCTGCGGCAGCACGCTCCGCATACGACGTCTGTACTTAAAAGTTGCGATTTTCCAGCCAGGGCTGCAGGAGCACGCTCCGCGTACTACGTTTGTACTTAAAAGCTGCGATTTTCAAGCCGGAGCTGCCGCGGACCAGGGGGGAATCGAACCCGCGACCGCGGGATTGCGAAAGCAGGCGCGCGAGCCACGAGACAACTTCCAAAGGCTATTTCGCGAGCAACAAATACGCACGGCGCCACAGCGAGAGCGCTTCGACACGCACGATCCCCGCAGCGCGTCGCGCGCGGCTTGCAGAAATCGTAAAAAAGCCCTCAGTTTTTGAACCTCGACCACGCGAATCTCCGCAGAGGGTCGCGCGCGCATGTTAGACATCGTAAAAAGTCCCCAGTTTTTGAACCTCGACCACGCGAATCTCCGCAGAGGGTCGCGCGCGGCTTGCAGAAATCGTAAAAAAGCCCTCAGTTTTTGAACCTTGACCACGCGAATCTCCGCAGAGGGTCGCGCGCGCACCGCAGAAGTCGTAAAAAGTCCTCAGTTTTTGAACCTCGACCACGCGAATCTCCGCAGAGGGTCGCGCGCGCACCGCAGAAATCGTAGAATAGTCCTCAGTTTTTGAAACTCGACCACGCGAATCTCCGCAGAAGGTCGTGCGCGCACCGCAGAAATGGTAAAAAGTTCCCAGTTTTTGAACCTCGACCACGCGAATCTCCGCAGAGGGTCGCGCGCGCACCGCAGAAATCGTAAAAAAGTCCCCAGTTTTTGAACCTCGACCACGCGAATCCCCGCAGAGGGTCGCAATCCCGAGCGATGATCAAACTCCCGCCCCGGCGCCTTAGAAACCTAAACTAACTTACATAGCTGCTTACGCCGAAGCTCTAGGCAAGCTCTACCTAACCTTGGCTCTGTGCCACTTGGCTCTGTGCCACTTGGCTCTGTGCCACTTGGCTCTGTGCCACTTGGCTCTGCGCCACTTGGCTCTGTTCCACTTGGCTCTGTGCCACTTGGCTCTGTGCAACGTGGCTCTGCCACTTGGCTCTGTGCCACTTGGCTCTGCGCCACTTGGCTCTTTTTTTTCTTGGCTCTGTGCCACTTGGCTTTGTGCCACTTGGCTCTGTGCAACTTGACTTGGCTCTGTGTAACTTGACTCTGTGCCACTTGGCTCTGTGTAACTTGGCTCTATGTAACTTGGCTCTATGTAACTTGGCTCTATGTAACTTGGCTCTATGTAACTTGGCTCTATGTAACTTGGCTCGATGTAACTTGGTCTATGTAACTTGGTTCTATGTAACTTGGCTCTATGTAACTTGGCTCTGTGCAACTTGGCTCTGTGCAACTTGGCTCTGTGTAACTTGTCCAAGGGCCCCGCACGGAAGAACCCTTCGCGATGCTTTCGGGAATTAAAGTCATTTTAATGAATCTAAATTGTTTTAATGTTTTTTGCCTTCCGAATCATTAAAATCATTAAAACCATTAAATTCCAGGAGTGTGCGCCTGAGCCAAGACTGATTTATTATTAAATCCATTAAAATCATTGAATTCATTAAAATCAGTTTAATGAATTTGTCAAATTGAATTTGAGGATTTTAGTTTTTCAGAAGGCCGAAAACATTTTTAAAAAAAAATCCACTAAAATCATTTAAATAAATTTCTTGATTTTGCTGTATTCGGCCGTCTGGCAAATTAAATTCATTAAAAGCATTAAATTCCAGGAGTTTGCCTGAGCCAGAACTATTCTACTATTAAAATCGTTTAAATCATTTAAACCATTGAGATCATTAAAAATCATAAAATTCCAGGAGTTTGCCTGAGCCAGGACTATTTGATTACTAAAATCATTTAAACCATATAAATAATTAAACTCATTAAGCTATTTCATGAATTTAATGAATTTAATCATTTTAATGTTTCAGAAGGCCCAAAACATTAAAATCATTAAATTCATTTGATATTTTAATGAATTTTCATGATTTAAATGATGTTAATGATTTTACATATCTATTCTATTATTAAATTGTTTAAATCATTTAAGCCGTTGAATTCATTAAAATCATTCAATTCCAGGAGTTTGCCCCTGAGCCAGGGCTATTTTACTACTAAAATCATTTAAACCATTTAGATAATTAAATTCATTAAACCATTTCATGAATTTAATGAGTTTAATCATTTTAATGTTTCAGAAGGCCCAAAACATTCAATTCATTTAATATTTTCTTGACTTTAACGATTTAAACGATGTTAATGATTGTACTAACAAAATAGTCTTGGCTCAGGCAAACTCCTGGAATTTAACGATGTTCATAAATTTCATGCTTCAGAAGGCACCAAACATTAAAATCATTAAATTCATGAAAATCAAATGAATTTATTGATTTTAATGTTCTGGGCCTTCTGAAACATTAAACTCATTAAATTCATTTAAATGATTTATGATTTTAATGGTTCTGGTCCTGAAACATTAAAATCAATAAATTCATTAAAATGATTTTAACGAGTTCATGGTTTTAATGATTTTGATGATTTTAATAATCGTCTTGGATTTTAATGAATTTAATGTTTCGGACGGCCCAGAACATTAAATTCATAAAAATCATTCAATTCCAGGAGCTTGCCTGAGCCAAGACTCTTGTATTATTAAAATCATTAAAGTCACTTAAATCATTAAAATCATTGAACTGTTTAAAGAATTTAATGAATTTAATGATCCTAATGTTTTGGGCCTTCTGAAACATTACAATGATTAAATTCATTACACTCATGAAATATTTTCATGAATTAATGAATTTAATGATTTTTAACGTTTTAGTCTTCTGAATGAACCATTAAGCTCATTAAATTCATTTGAATATTCAGCACCCAAATCATGAAAATACAAAAATTAACCTCCTGCCTGCAAATAGACCTAGTTTTTTCCCTCTTCGGGGGGACCCCCGTTTACCAATCCCATGCGGGCATTACGGTGAAAACCCGAGGCACGAATCCGCTAACAACCTTTTCGCACTGTGCACTGCTACTGATGTCTTCGGCAATGTATACAGGCACTAAGAGTTGGGACTGCTTTCCACACTAGGCGGGACCAAATGAAGCGCTTACCGCGCCACGCCGGCGCAGTGCACCAAGAGCCTCTCGAATCAGCGCGGGTCGCATGTTTTTCTCGAAACCGATCCTTTCCTTTCAGCCAACTGCGCGGCACGCGCTCACGAGCTGAGCGCTGCTAGCTGGAGGGCAGAAAGTTGGTGAGGCCTCAGCTCTGCGCTGGGCCTTTCTCCGCAGCCCCAACCAGCCGACCGAAAGAATCCCAAGCGCCAAGGCACTTCACGTCCTTCGCGCCCTTCTCCAGGGATGAGGCAGCGAACACCACACCAACCACGATCGCGCCCACCAAGGCGGCAACGCCCACGGGCCAGGCCATGGCAAAGGCGCCAAAGAAGACCAGCCCGCTCAGCACGCCACAAACGAAGAAGGCCGCGAAGCTGGGGTTTTCACCCGACAAGCTGGCGACTGCCAGCGCAGCGAGCCCCCCGCCAAAGACCAGGCACACGAGGCACACGACGATGCAGACCAGGATGAACACAACTTCCTGCGCAAGCAAGTCAAACCGGGAGCGCAAGTTCGGCTGTTAGCCATGCGGATGAGCGGCGGCAGTCTCTGCAGTGTCCCCGCCCTCCGCCCGGAAGCTCTCACCTTAGCAAGCCAGCAAGAGTCGACCTTCGTCCGTGAACTGCTGCCGAATGCCGCCAGGTCGCCCTCTGCGGCATCAGACACCACCTCGACCAATGACGAATTCCCCGCCACTGCGCCAGGCTCCTTCTCCAACTCCGCCTCCCCGTCCTCAGCTCAAGCCACGGCTCTTCGCAGGGAAAGGGCCAAAGGGCTATTTGTGGCGCACTGGCGCTTCATCTGCGAGATCCTCCTACGCGCAATTGGGGCCAAGGCTCCGCCACCCTGGCCACGGTTCGCTTTACGTCCGCGCGCCACATGTCTTGCATAAACTCCTGACAGTGCTCGGGGAGTCCCAAATCCGTGTCATGCACATCCTCCGTGCTGTACCCGGGCACGAGCATGAAGTGATTCAGGAAGGTGCCCAACTGCTCCTGCCACTGTCGCGAGTGCGGAAAGCACGGACCCAAAATGCAACCAATTTAGAGGAGTCCCCTTCTGACAAATCCATTTTTTGAGATTCCACGCGAAACGCACGGGGGAAATTGGACGATGGAAGACGGATTTTGGCCGGGTTCGAGGCTTCACTTACGTCGTGTTGTTCTGGGAGGATGGCTGATGTTTGGCTGAATCGGGGTGGGGCTTAGTGTGGCTTCGAGGGTACTTTTTCCGTGGTTGTGGCCAGTTTTGGCAGAAGAAATTTTAACGCCTCTGGCTCAGGCTGCCGCCCAGAACAACACGACGTAAGTGAAGCCTCTCCCTGGCTGAACCCGGCCAAATCCGTCTTCCACCGTCCAACGTCCGCTTTTCGTGGCAGTTGGATCACATGGCAGGTCGCGTCTGTCACTGCGCATTCATTCTTTCATCTTAGCTGCGCGCAAACCATCTTTCACTTAGTCCTTGCACTTCGCACCAAAACGGGAGCCCAGGCGCGAGACATGCCTTTGGAAAAACGCACGCGCAAACTGAGACGCTGCCCTGGTCAACGCGGGCAAGGTGGGCACACCCCACACTTCAGGCCACGAGGCCCAAGCCAAGTCCTGACATCGCACCCCGCTTTGGAACGCAGGCCTTGTCTGCCGCTGTCTCGTCGGACAGGTGGCACTTGTCTTTGGACTCCGACTTCGCAAACTCGATCAGGATCGCTGGCCGCTTCTGCATGAACGCGCGAAGCTCGCTGTGCCTTTAAATCTTGCAACATATGAATGCCCATGCGTCCCTATGTTTTGCCCATGTGTGTGTGTGCCTGTGTGTCTGTGTGTGTGTATGTGTATGTGTATGTGTATGTGTATGGATATGTGTCTGTGTCTGTGTGTGTGTGCGTGTGCGTGTGCGTGTGCGTGTGCGCGTGCGCGTGCGCGTGCGCGTGCGTGCGTGCGCG